TTAAAAGTAGACTATGTTTAACATCTTTTGGCAAAGTTTTTAAAAAACCATTTACTAACAAAGCAAACTAAGTTTTTAAGGAAAAACAACATTTTTATACTCAAGAGTGAAATTTTAAACATTTTTTGTTTCTGGTGCCACCCACCAGAAAACAATATGCAAACAACATGGTTTTGTATCTATTAACTTTGGTTAACTTTGGGTTTTCATTTTAAACGCTACTTGTTGATTGCTTCCAAGGAAAATAGTATTTAACTCATTCTGCCTTCTTGAAATATGTGCTATCCAAGTTTTCTCAACCCCCTTTGTGATTTTAAAGGTCGATACCGCTCTTCCTCCATCAACTTATCTTAATGTTTGGAATGCCCTCATGTCCATCTCTACTGGCCTAAACACATGGCTTTAGGGTTCTCTTCCCAGCACGAACATCAAATTCTCTTTTGTTAATTAATCACTACTTTTTTTTTTTTGCCTCATATACAAACTCTGGCTGTACAGTTTAGCTTTATCCTTTTGTCTGGAGAACTTTTTAAAAAAATAGAATACGAAGGGTTTTGACTCTTTTCTGTTTCTGAAAGATGGGGCTTCAACAGACTCACTACTGAGCTTGTCTTTTCCCCTCTTGCATTTCCAGCATATAAGCAAGCTCCCAACAATGGCAAAATTTCTGAACAAGAGTACTGTCAATTCACCTGAACCATGATGAATTTTTTTGCCCTACATGCAAGCCACTGCAGGTCTTGGGGAAGACCAAAGATAAAGTATTTCCCTATCTAATGAGCTCTTAAGAGGACAAACAGTTGTCTAGCCAAACTGTATTACCTATCATCATAATGATTCACCGAACAAAATGAAAGGAGCTGGGGAGGGTGCTGCTGCTAATCCAGTTAGTGGGACACTGCTAACCATCCTGTAATACATAGGATAGTCCCTCACAGAAAAGAATTATTGGTTCCAAATGTCAAGAGATTGAGAATGCTGGCTTACACAAATGCCAAACTGAAAAGCCTAGAAACATTTTCTCATTAAATCTGTACTTAATTGTATGCTTTTGTCCCAAGAATTATCCAAAGTTGAGCTCAAAGTATGCTCAGATATGTATAAATCCAAACCAATAATTAAAAAAATGGGTGAAGCCATTAGAAAATAAACTCCATATCTGCATACTTTCTGTTGAAAAACAACAGGCTTCAAGGTACACAGGAAAAATCTAAAGTTTCAGACTTACAGTCATTCCATTCCTATTCTACAGATAAAAAGAAATTCCTAAGTGCTCTGAAAGTCATTCAAGCTTCACATGAAAACAGTCATCTTTCCTAGCTGCAAGTTTTCAGCAGCAGGCAACAGTCTCTACTAGAAGTTTGAGACTATGTATATAAAGTGAGCAAGAGGAATCAAGATACACACTAGTAATCATAACCCAGTACTACAGTATTTCTTTCTTTTTTTTTTTTTTAAAGATTTATTTATACAAGAGCTGGGGTATAGGCCAGAGGAATGGGAGGGTGAAAAGATTCACCAGAGTCAGAGCGGGGAGCAGAACAGGCAGACGAACTGAAAGCACTGCTGAGGGGAGCAGCGGGCGAGATAGGAGAGGTCTGCCGTGCCATGTGGGTATCTCCCTGGCAGGCCAGGAATCAAACCCGCACTGCAGAGGCTGCGGACAGCTGCACAGCACTGCGCTCAACCCGCTGCGCCACCGGGGAGGCCCTATAATATTTCTTATCAATTTATGTGTTAATTTTACACCTCAATATAATCTCCAGAATCTGTCAAGAGTTCATCCAGAGGCTCATTTTGCTGTAAAATCACCACTGACCCAAACCTCAAGCACAATGAAAATCCATCTAAATCTCAAGTTGCTCTTTGTATTTTCAGTTTCAAGTCATGGATTGAATTGAATAGTTGTTCATTTCTCATTTTTCCCCTACACAAACACAACATAAAAATGTTCCCATGACTTACAATTTTGTCTGACCCATAGATCTTCTCCAACTGTTCAGCAACATCCCTTGTTCCATCCGGGCTTCCATCATCTATGATTATAATTTCATAGTTGATTCCACTAAATTAAAAAAAAGCTTGTATTAATGTTTGAAAACATTATCTATAAATTTAAATCCTAAAAGGACCAATTCCTCACTAGTGTAAGTGGAAACGTATTGTCATATTAACCACTAAAGAAAACTTGAACCATCAAATGAAGTAAACATCAAATATTTAGTATTTAGCTTTCAAACTCGGCATTTTGCTGATAAATGTAATCATCAAGTGCTGAGGCATTATAAAATTCTAACACAGAAAACACGCTCTTTAATTAAAATTTGAAACCACACAGTGATTATAAATAAAAAGCACAGCATATAAGGATTTATTTACCTACTTTGGAAGTGGAATTTTAGAGCCTTAATATCAAATCTCAATAATACAAACATTTCAAAAGCCTGTTTAAAGACAATTCAAATGGATCAAGTTGCTGAGTGATTATTTGTTTTAATTTAATCCCCAATAGATTTAAATAACATAAGGAGTAAATCTGATTTAATTTCACCCTTACAGACTTTTGCACCACTATTTCAAACAGCTGCAGCCATTACCCTCCTTTCATGCTAAAAAAGAAAAACTGCAGTGAATTACAAGACTTCAATATAATTCAAAAGTAGCCACCCCTGTGTTACTCTTCATTAACTTCACACAATAGTTTCTATCCTAAAAACAAGCCAACACAGTAGCTGGAGATAGGTTTGGTCACTAGGATGTCGGCCTACAATCCCTTTAGAGAAGATACTTGTTAAAGTTATTGGGAAATTTAAGGGGAAAGGAGTGAATCCCCTGATGCATCATTGCCTCCTCTTGATTTGCTTTAAGAAATGCTCCCTAGGAAGTCACCCAGAACACACACTCCACTGTTAAAGGGTCACAAAGATGTGAGCCCCCAGCTAACTTAGAAAAAAGCAAAACTCTACCTATCTATTCTCTAAAAGCAGATATAATGACTTCAGCTCCCCTGTGCCTTGAAAGTGAGTTTGTGCTACACAAGCCCAAACCCGCAAGAGGCTGATCCTTGTCGAGAATATGCTGAAAGCATTATCTCTGAAAGAGATATGCTTCAAAAATAAACATAGCTACTCATAAGCAAAATACTCCCCTCCCACTTCAAGACACCCACACACCAGCCGATGGTGAGACAGCTTAATCAAATCGAGCTAAGAGGTAATGTGAAAGCATCTATAAAGAAAATAGTTGTTTGCTTCCTTTATCAAACTTGGTAATTACTGAAAAGCATCACTTCAGAAACCATTAAAAGATAAATTGTGCCACACTGAAAAATTAAAGAACAGAGCAAAAAATGCTGTATTATATAATGAAAAAGCAAACCAGAACAAGATTGGTAGATGATAATTTCTCGAATTTGGGAAAAGCTTGTACGAATCAAAATAAGACAAAAACTAAGTAGGAGGAAAAAAAAAAAAGGAATGCATAAAAAAACTGGGAGAAGTCACGTATTCTCCTTCAAAAAACAATCTAAACAGCAGCATTTTCCCCAGTTACCACTTCCAACGATGTTAAGTTTCAAAGTGCTCAGACGGGCTGGTGGGTGGAGAAACAGGCACTCTGAAAACTGGTGAGTCCTGAGGCAGTCCGATTTCTTTGACAGCAACTTGGCACTAGCTCGATTTTATGCACATCTCTGTCGACCCAGCAATCGCGCCCTGATTTTATCCCCGATGTGGCCGTGGCAACCCTCGACGAATCACGGCGCATCCACTCCGCGTCCAGCTCGCTTCCAGACGCGGAGGGAGGCGTGAGCAACACCCCCTCCCCTTTTCGCTTATAAGGCAAAAGAGAAAAAAAACCCGAACACGCCGCAAAGAATGCGTGTTGTTGGCACAGCCCAGGGAAACCACGGCCCCGCCGTATGGAACACTGCCTGGTCTCCGAAATCATCTCCTAAGCGTGCATATCCTGATACGGAAAGGTCTTCAAGTTAAAAACAACACACATCACGTCCGATGAAGGCTCCAGACCGTGCCCACCTCCAGTCGCGCCCCATCTGGTCACCCGCGAGGCGGCCCCTCCGGGGAGGCCCGCGGCCGGCGCCGCTCCCGCACCGCAGGGCCGGCCTCACGCTTACATAAGCCCGGGCGCGGGGGCGGGGAGCGGGCGCCGCCGCCAAGGACTCCGGGCCCCGCCGCGGCTCCGGCGGGAGGGTCAGCCCCTCCGACGGCGGCGGGCGGGGGGTGCGACGAAGATCAAAGCGCAACCCCAAACCCAAGGGCGGGCAGGCGAGCCCGAGACGGCAGAGCAGCCCAGGAGGGTCCGCCGCTGCCGTCCTCGCAGGCCGGGCCCCCCGCGGACCCCCCACAGGCCCCGGCGGGCCCCCCATAAGCCCCCCAACAGGCCCCGGCGGGCCCCCATAAGCCCCCCGCAGGCCCCCGGGGCGCCGCGCGCCGCCAACAGCCGCGCCCGCGGGAGCGCCCATCCCCGCGGGGGGCGGCGGGCTCGCTACCTCTCGGAGAAGCTCTTCACCAGCAGCCACACGATGAGCGGCAGGTTCTCGCGCTCGTTGTAGGTGGGCAGCAGCACCGAGTACTTGTCCCGAGCCGGGGCGCGCCCCTCCCGCGCCCGCCGCGGCCCCGGAGAGGCCGGCCGCGCTCCTCGGGACGCCATGGCGGAACGGCCGCGCCGCCGGAAGCGGAAGGACGCGCATGCGCGCCAGGGGCCGGGCGGTCGGGCCCAGCGCGGGGCGGGGGCGCGCGGGGGGGCTCCGGGGGGACGCGCGCGGGTCCTGCCCCCCCTCAGCCCGCCGTGCGCTCTGCGGGCAGTATCCAGGGCGGGCGAGTCTCCAAAATTAACATCTCTACAGCCGAAGGCGGCTCAGGACAGGGACGTCCAGGTGCCACTGTTCCCAAGCACCGTCGCTCTCTAGTTGACGCCGACGCTAGGCGACGGGGGCCGGAAACGGAAATGCCGCGCGACGACTTCCGGGAGAGGGCGCCGCCATGGCCGCCATGGCCGCCGGGGAGGAGGTGCTCGCGCTGCAGGCCGAAGTGGCCCTGCGGGAAAAGGAGCTGAGTTCCCTGAAGCAGAGGCTGACGGCGGCCCTCTCGGCGGAGCAGGGCCCGGGGCGGCAGGTTCCGGTGTCGCCGCTGCCGCCGAAGGCCGCGCTGTCCCGGGACGAGATTCTGCGCTACAGCCGGCAGCTCGTGCTGCCCGAGCTGGGCGTGCAGGGGCAGCTGCGCCTGGCGTCCGCGTCGGTGCTCGTGGTGGGCTGCGGCGGGCTCGGCTGCCCGCTGGCGCAGTACCTGGCCGCGGCCGGCGTGGGCCGCCTGGGCCTTGTGGACTACGACGTCGTGGAAATGAGCAACCTGGCCCGCCAGGTGCTGCACGGCGAGACGCTCGCCGGCCAGGCCAAGGCCTTCTCGGCCGCCGCCTCGCTGCGCGGCCTCAATTCGGCGGTGGAGTGCGTGCCCTACGCCCAGGCGCTCACGCCGGCCACGGCGCTGGACCTCGTCCGCCGCTACGACGTGGTGGCCGATTGCTCGGACAACGTGCCCACTCGCTACCTGGTCAGCGACGCGTGCGTGCTGGCGGGCCGGCCGCTCGTGTCCGCCAGCGCGCTGCGCTTCGAGGGCCAGCTCACAGTCTACCACTATGACGGGGGGCCTTGCTATCGCTGCGTGTTCCCCCAGCCGCCCCCCGCCGAGACGGTCACCAACTGTGCGGATGGCGGGGTGCTCGGGGTCGTGACTGGGGTCCTGGGCTGCCTGCAGGCGCTGGAAGTACTGAAGATCGCTGCGGGTCTGGGCCCCTCTTACAGTGGCAGCCTGTTGCTTTTTGATGCCCTGAGAGGGCAGTTCCGCTCTATTCGGCTGCGGAGCCGCCGGCCTGACTGCGCAGCGTGCGGGGAGCAGCCCACGGTGACTCACCTGCAGGACTACGAAGCCTTCTGTGGCTCCTCAGCCACTGATAAGTGCCACTCCCTGCAGTTACTGAGTCCAGAGGAACGAGTTTCTGTCATTGACTATAAGCGACTTCTGGATTCTGGGTCTCCCCACCTGCTCCTGGACGTCAGGCCCCAAGTGGAAGTGGACATCTGTCATTTGCCTCATGCCTTGCACATCCCTTTGAAACATTTGGAACGGAGGGATGCAGAGAGCCTGAAACTCTTAGGAGAAACACTCCGGGAAGGCAAGCAGGGCTCACAGGAAGGGGCAGCTCTCCCCATTTATGTGATTTGCAAACTGGGCAATGACTCCCAGAAGGCCGTGAAGGTCCTGCAATCCTTGACAGCAGCCCAGGAGTTAGACTGTCTTACAGTTCAGGACGTTGTGGGGGGCCTCATGGCCTGGGCTGCCAAAGTTGATGGGTCATTTCCACAGTACTGAGGTGACTGATCTGCCCTGAGAATGATGTGGATTGAATGCCAAGTTGCCCTAAGATACATTGTTTTCTTTCCCCCCTGCCCAGTAATGTACAGGAGTGCCTGGGATTCTACTGTGCCTGTGAACGCTGGACTCTTGGACTTTTACATTGTTATTTATTGTATAGCCTAGTTATTAATGGCTCGTTAATAATGGCTCATTAATAACTGCACTGTTTCTGAGAGTTGTCCTCTCAGCTGTTGGAAGGTGTCTTGAACATGCGAGATAGAAAGTAAGTGGCAGGATTTTGTGTTTTGAACTGCAGACACTGCCTGTACTGCTCTCCCCACTCCCACCCCCCACCAATCAAAAACTCTATTATAAATTGTTCATGCTAGGCCTGAAAAGGTGCAGTAAACTTAATTTTACTGGGTCGCTCACAGATGATGCACTTAAGGTTAGTTTATTGTTTACTAAGACATTTTGGGGGTCTTATTTCTAGCACAAGTGATAGGCTATGTCCTACTTAATTCAGTGTTTACAATGTAAGTTGTCTTAATTATCTGGAAAGTAGTCATTCTATTGAATATTTTGAATTAATATCCAAGTGAGATATTTACAGTTTAGCAAAATAAAGGAAACCACCTCCAGTCTATCAGTTTCTCTTAAAAATTGCTGATTTTTTCCATAGTGTTTCCTTCAGGGTCCATCTTAATGTTTTTACATTTCTAAATTGTGTACTGTGGTTCAACTTTGGAATTTTCAAATCTAAGCCCCAACCTTCCGTCCTCCTATCTTTGTTGAAAACCACTCTGTGTCCTGATAATCACGGAATGGAAGGAACTGGTTACTTCAGAGAACAGAAATGTGACCTGGGGCACTTGGTGTGCAGACTTGTCAACAAGATTCAGGGTCTTGTATAATTCGTGACTGAGTGTCGGGGGCTGCAGCCTAAAGGAGTTCTGAGATTTTGTTAACATCTGTATTTTATGTTTTCATTTATAATGTATGTGTAGGTGAATGACCTTAGGTGCTTAAAGCTCTGTGGAGGCGCAGCAAACCTATCACGCCCGCTGCTCCCCTAGCAGTGTATTTCGTCAGTCTGCCTGTTCCGTTCCCCACTCTGTCTCTGGTGAATCCTCTCAACCTCCTGCTTATCTGGCCTGTACCCCAGTTCTTGTATAAATAAATAAATAAATCTTTTTTTTTTTTTTTTAAAAAAAAGGCTCTATGGAAACTAATTTTTGCTCATTTTAATGTCATGTAAACATAATATCCTGTAATTTAAAATTTTCAAAAGACTGTAAAATTGAAATTGTGGTTCTACATGCACTATCAATCTCTCTTTGGCTTTTCCAAGTATTTTGATGAATTGGAGATTGAATGTAATTTCTTAGGAAAATGTGCCTGCATAATAGATAATCAGTGATGATGGCAGAGTGGAGGTGACGGAAATGAGAGTTGCCACATGATACTTTTGGAAATCTGCACCTGCAGTATTTCAGTCTGGATCAGACCCATCAATTAACCTCCCAATAACAGCAGAAAAAAAAGAATGGTAAAAAAAAATTAAGTTTTAAAATAAAACTACTGAAAATGGATGATTTGTGGTGATTTACTTATAATTAAAACATTTAGTTATAATTAGTTATAATTGAAAACAAAAATACATCCTCGAGGCATCAACTTCAGCTGAACATTATGATTATACATTTAGTTTGGAAAAATGTTTAGTCTTCAAAAAGTCATCCATGTTCATGGCCAAATTCTGATAGCTCAAGAGCTACACACTAAATGTAAAGTAATATCTGGGGATTTAACCCTGGAATAGAAAAAGGCTGTGGAAAAGCCGGGAACACTGAATAAAGTCTGTAGTTATTAACACAGCATCAATGCTAATTTCTTAGTTTTCACAAGTACACCATGGATATGGGGTATTTTCACACTTTTTCATAACATCAGCCAGGATCACTTGCATCCTCCATAACCACAACTTAGTCACAGCTGCAAAGTCCCCGTTAGTATGTAAAGCAACATGTCCACAGGTTTGGGAATTAGGACTCAACGTATGGGGGCGGGGGACTGTTCTAGGAGTAGGAGGACAGACTGGAGACTTGTCTTGGAAGTAGACTGAGGGATCACAGGCGGAGGGGAGGAGGAACGGGGAGGGAGGAGTCTAGGATGACTCGGTTTGGTTTGAGTGCCTGGTTGAGCCAGGGGGGGTGTTCGTGTAATTTAATGGGATGAAGGCAGTGGGCAGAGGACTGGGAAGAGCAAATGAAAAATGACCCTTTCCCCTTCCAGATACTTAAATCCATCTTTCATATTGCTCCTAGAATCCCAAGACACAGCGGGGGACCTACCCATCACGACCTGCCTAAGTCTGTCCTTAATAAAGGACCATGAAACCACTTGACCAGAGAAACTTCTTCACCAGGGCAAACCTTAACCCATCCCCACAGCCTGGGACAAGAAGTCCACATACCCCCAAAGTGACACTCCAACAGTGACCTGACAGTGACCTTCAGAGGGATTGGCTGATGGAGCCTAAAATCTGGTACGTTACAAAAAACCCTGTAATTGAAGAGCATCATGCAGACAAGTGCACAAATCCTGAATATGGGGCTGATGAGATTTTCTTTTTTTTTTTTTTCTTAAATAACTTTGAGACATTTTATTTATTTATTTTTAAAGATTTATTTATTTATTTATTTATTTATTTATACGAGCACTGGGTACAGTCAGAAGAATGGGAGGGTGAGAGAATTCACCAGAGTCAGAGCGGGGAGCAGAGCAGGCAGAGGGACCAAAGTACACTGCTGAGGGGAGCAGCAGGCGGCAGGAGAGGTCTGCGCGCCATGCGGGACTCTCCTCCGGTGTCCGGGGAGCAGCCGGGGATCGAACTGGCACTGCAGAGGCTGCGGGCAGCTTTGCAACCCAGCGCTCAACTGCTGCGCCACCGGGGAGGCCCGCTGATGAGATTTTCAAAACAGAACACACTCTTGTCACCAGTTCCCAGACAAGAAACAGCAGGCATGGGAGCCCAAAAGCCTCCCTCACTGCCCCCCCAGGAGCCTCCCTCATTGCCCCCCACAACACCCTGCCTCCTCCACCCCCCAAACCCTGACTTCTGCAGCCCGTGTTTGTACTTCCCCCCAAGGGAACTCACACATTTTGAATTACATTGTTCTTCCATCTTTCATAATTCCCCAGATCGTTTTCCCTCGTTAGAAAGTGGGGACAGAACTGGCGTGGTCCAGGCGGAAGGGTGGCCCCATTCCAGCCTCAGTCAGGCAGAAGGTGCCACTCTGGGAACCTGCCTGCTGGGTCTGTCTTCACGGTGGGACCGAGGCAGCCTGCTCTCTGCTGTGACCCTATTGCCTTGGCGTGTGGGTGGCTGTGTCCTGTGGTTGCCCTACACAGCCTGAGGGGGTAAGGGATGTTCCTGACAGGCCACCTGTCAATGTGTTAAAGGTCACTCAGTGAACGTAGCTGCGTCTTATTATTTCACGTGACAATTTCTCTCCTAATCGCCACTGTTTCTTGAGGTTGCTCTGAGCTCAGCACTCTCCACGTATTGTCGCGAAAGCCCCCGATCATGGAAGGATGAGGAGATATCCTCACTGTCCGCTCAAGGAAACCGAGGCCCTGATGGGTGAGCTCACATTCCCAGGGTCATAGTCGGTGGAGCTGAAATGAGAAGGGCCTGGTTCAGACCCGGCGCTGGTAACTTCTGCAGCCCTGCCTCTTGAAGATGGTTCCAAGGCTGCCTTCACCCTTTGACAGATGCTGGTGCTCGTCACTCCCACTGCCTTGGAGCTGATGGCTTTACCTGCTGAGCCTTTGAGGAGGACAAGGAGTTGGTGGACAAAACCCCCCCAGCTTCTGGCTCCTGGAGGGAGACTACTCTGGGGTGTGATCTTTGTCCCAGGGGACCCCAGGGGCACCTGCCTATTCATGTTCCTCCCTGCCCCCTTCCTGCTTCCTCCCCACCCCCTTCTGGAGTTTCCCAGAGAGCCCAGTTCCCTCACTGGCTATCTGGTGCTTGTCTCCGGAGCCCCTGCTGGCACTCAGGTCTGATGATGAGTATCCAGTAGTGTGGACTGGGTTGCAGCTTGTTTAATCATTCATCTGTTGAAGGACATCCAGGTTATTTCCAGTTCGGGGCGATTCTAAAGAAGGCTGCTAGGAACCTAAGTAAGCTTATCTCTATCGATTTTATTTTCACTTTTCAAGATAAAGTTCCAATCAAACTTTCCCCCCTCACCGCCATTTACTCTAAAATTTGGGCGTCCATTTGAAGCAGGGAAACTACAAATGGCCTTTTTCTGGCGCTTAGCCGAACTGGGACTCACTGTCCTGAGCGCCTCTGGCTATTGAGAACGGCAGCCTGGTCGACTCAGATTTTTGGATGGGAGGACAAACTAAATGGGCCGGTTAATGCAAAGCGAAGGGCCGCCTTGAAGGGGTAGAACACAGAAACGCGGCGATGAGGCACTTGCCTGGCCTGATTTGCCGACATCTGGAGATCATAGCCCAGTCCAGCTGATGCGGCAGATGGACGCTGCAAGAAAGGCCCAGAGGCCACGCGGGGCACACTGCTGCTTGCCACGCATGAGGAGTTTGGAAGAATGTGCTGGCGGCCTCAAGAAGGAAGGCTATTGAACGGGGCGGGTGACAGGTTACTTCTCCTTCTGTTTCTTAGTCAGAGGCAGCCGCAGGGCCTCGGTTCAGTGTCTTCCCTCCTCCTGGCCTTCTGCGAGCATTTTCTCAGCCCTTTCTTGGCGCCAGCCCTGGGGGTACCTCAGTGAATGAGGTAGACACTCTGCTCCCAAAGCCCATGTCATCATGGGAGACAAGCATTAAAAACCGAGGTACACATCCAGAACCAGCCACACGAGCTGCAGGATCCCTCGTTCAAAAGCCATGAAGAATTTCAGGATGGGGCCCTCAGAGCACCAAGCCCTGCGTGTGGCCCCTGAGCACAGTCTGGGGGGGCGGTATTTGCTGATGTCTGGAGACATCTGGGTCTTCTAAATGGGGGTTGGGATAGAGTGGGGGTTCACTGGCATCTAGAGGGTGGAGGCCAGAGAGGCTGTTAATAATGCCCAATTCCGGGTATGCTGACATTTCAGTCAATGACAATTTTTATATGAGCCAGAAAGAAACCAATTCAGAGGGTTTACAAAGGCATACAAGCCGGGACCTGTTTTCATCTGGGCGAGACTTTTTTTGGAGGAAAGCCCTTTGAGCTGAGGTGTGAAGTATTCTGATGAATTAGCCAAATCCAGGAGGAAGACTGGAGGCGGCAGGGGTGGGGGGTTGAGGCAGATGTTGATGGCCGAGGAGGGGCCCAAGTCTTAATAACCTTTTCTCCCCTATAAGTTCTAAGCCCAGTGAGACAGAGACACAACTGAGGTTGAGGAAGGTGAAAATTCCACCTTTATAGCTAAGAAGGCTACCTGGGGGCTGAGGTTGGGGACAGCATGGTACTAGGCAGGGGCTGACTGGAGCAGGAGCACAGGCTGCAGCAGGAGAGTCTGGTAAAGGAGGTGGCTGGGGTGGGCTCCGGCTGGTTGTGTGTTAGTGCACTCCAGGGTGCATTGACTAGCGCTCGAAATTGACTACCCTGCGAGGGGGGAGAGGAGGGAAGACAGGGGCCCCGAAATGTCAAAACACTGAATAAACATAATAAAAAGACACAATGCAATCCACCAAATAAAAGTCCAGCTTCTGCGGCCAGAAGTGGAGGCAGGCTGGGCACACAGGACTCAGGATGGCCACTTGAGAACCATAGCAGTCGCCTCCAACTGCGGCAGGACGCTGCTTCCTTTGCCAATTTTATCCTTGAAATCCCAGGACCATCTTTCCTTGTCTCTGGGATTTGCCCCAGCACCAGCCTCAGGGTTAGTCCCATCCTGGGATCCCTGACAAAATGTCCAGGTCTTCTCCAGGCTGCTTGGCCCCAGGCCACCAGGTCCCGGGGGCACATCTGTCACCGTGGGGACAAGCTGACAGTTGACAGTAGCAGCAGCTCCCACTTCCCCTGGCACTTGCTTTGTTTAAAACTGCCCAGAAACTGTGCCTGCTGTCACGGGGAGCTGGGGCGATCTGAGCGGGGACGATGTTTGTCTTCAGGCGTTTTCGGGACTGGCAGTCACCTGAGAGGCAGAGCGAGAGACGGCGCTGGCAGGTCTGGGGCACTTCGGGCTGCTTAAGGGGCTTTGCCTTTTTTGTTCCTGCTTCCTCAGTTGCCAACATCCTGCCCCGGGAGTGGGGCGGTCATCAGAGGCTGCAGATTGGAAAGGTCTCCTTTGGGGGAGGTGGGTTCTGGATTCTGTGGGGAGAGAGGCCTCCCAGAGCTGCCCTCCTCCTGCCAAAGCTTTGTGTTCAACTGTCGCCTTTTCCCCAGCAGCCTTCATGTCTTTCATCTCATTCCAGCTGGAGCGTCCGCACAGCCCTTTGTCAGTTTTCTCTGCTGCGCACAGAGCGCTTGAACGGAGCAGTTTCCCCTGGCACCTGAGCGAGCTGCACTTTTGCAAGGGATTGTCTTGGCATTTTCGTGATCTTCAGGGATCCAAAAAAGTTCAGCTTGACTCACTGATCTTCCCCCAACCCCGCGTGGCCGTAGCCGCCTCCCCTCTGGAAGCGGTACCTCCACCCTCCCAGGGACGGAGGCCTCAGACCGCAGATTCATCCTCGCCTCCTCTTTTCCCTTCCTTCCCACGCCCCATCTGTCATCAAATCCTGTTGGTTCTCCCTTCAAATCACACCCGGAATCGGCCCAGTTTCTTCTTTGAACACCACGCACCATCACGTCTAGCCCAAACCACAACATCCCTGTGGCCTGGGCCTCCCGTGGCAGCCCAGGGAATCTGGGAACACCCAGCCGGTGTCCTGTCATCCCTGTGCTCAAATCCACCCTGGCTCCCACCTCTCTCAGAGTAAAAACCAAATTACTCAGAGAACTGCCATCTGCCCTCCTCTCTTCTCCAGCCTGGTCTCCAGCTCACTCTGACCCAGCCACGCCGCCTCCCCGCCATGCCTGCAACACACCCGATGCCTGCCTCAGGGCCTATGCACAGGTACCCCATCCCCACCTTGCCCAAACGTCTTAGGGAACTCATCCCTAACTACTTAATTTAAATGATTAAAACATTGAAAATGCCATTTCAGGTGGCACCTTCCTTGGGGCTTCCCCGCTTTGCTTCCCCCCATGCAAGTTACCCTCTGGCATACTGGTTCCCCTGTTTGTCTACTGCTGTCTCTGTCACCAGAACCCCGGCTCTACGAGGGTGGAGACTTGTGTATATTTTGTCCCCTGCTGTATCCTCGTGGCCAGGAACACAGTAGGTCCTCACTAAATATTTGTC